GGCGGGGATAATTTAGGAATGATTCAAGTGCATTACATTTATTGTGCACTTTATTTCTATTATTAGTACATTGTAATATATAATGAAATAATTGTACAACTCACTGTAATGTAGAATCAGAGGGAGTCCTGAGCTTGATTTCCTGCAACTAGAAGGTTTCAACTGGGGGAGAGGGCAGACAGTAACAGATCATCAGGCATTAGATTCTCATAAGGAGCACACAAACTAGATCCCTTGTATGCACATTTCTCAACAGGGTTCGTACTCCTATGAGAATCTAACGCTACTGCTGATCTGACATGAAGTGGAGCTCAGGCAGTAATGTGAGTGAGGGGGAGCAGCTGTAAATACAGATGAAGCTTCCCTCACTGGCCCGCCACTCACCTCCTGCTATGCGACCCTGTTTCTAACAGGCCAGGGACCTGTACTGTGACCTGTTAGATCAGGGGACTCCTGATCTAAAACACAAAATTTGCGTCATTCATCCTTAGTGAACCAATGCTGGCTCTCGGTGATTACCTCCATCTTTTGGTTTGTAATGTTTATGAGGGTATTTATGCACAGAAAGAGTCTCTTAGTCTACATTATAGGGTTTTCTTTTATTTTTTATTCTGGTTTTTTTTGTTGTTTGTCTTTGAAATTGTGCTGTCTTGACCCAGTTTGAGACCCTGGCTAAAGGCTGATAAATCCCCTTTCTCCAGCAGCTGATTAAGTCCACACATTGAAGACTTTCCTTATCATGCTCTCACACTCACATCTGCCCTAATCTGCCCTGGGACCTAGCACCAAACAGCCAGGGACAGTCCCTAAGCCCCAGGGCCCACCAAAATTATTTAAATCATCCAATCCACAGAGAGACTATGAAACCGAGCTAGCTCCACCCTGTGCGCCATATGTAAGCTGCCCCCGATAGCTTGCAGTTACTCAGTTACTCAGTTACTCAGTCCCCGATTCAACTCCTGTAAGTGTCCTCCATCAAAAGTCTTCAAATCTTATAAACAATTGGTGCTGTGAGCAGGAAGGTGTGGCCATGATTGTGGACTCTTGAGTAGCTCCTTGTGGGGACAGGGTGCAGGGTGTGAGGGTCTGCTCTTGGCTTACTCATTGGCTCCAGACCCACACCAGCACAACTAGGGATGCAACTGCTGCCTGTCAGTGAGCTGCACTTCAGCTGGTGCTGCTGTGCTGCCGGTGCTTGCCAAGTCTCTCCTTATCCACATTCCTGTGTTGGAACGTTAAAAATGAGCAGTGCTGACTGGCTAAACTCCAAAGCTATATACTAGTACAGCTGGGGCCCACCTTAGACCATTAGGAGTGATGAGCCACTTGAGCTGCACTTTGCAGGGTCTGCATTCCCCATGCTTCTGTTCATAGCCTGTGTTTGGCAGAAGCCTATTCCGGGAGTCTGTAACTTCTTTGGCAGCAGTGTTTCTTTTTTATTATGTAGGGCAGAATCCTGTTTGTCCGAGTGTTTCAGGTAAACTCTTGTGAAGGAAAGTGTTGGTTGGGCTCTCCTACAATACAGAAATGGCGCCAGGTCTCATTGTCAACTTGACCAATTTAACCAATTACGATAAAGGAACTATAAAGGAACATAGAAATTGGTTAAATTGGAGGGGTTCCTACAGACTAATACTGGAGTTCCAGCCCCAGCCATAGATATATTAATTGGCAAACAACCTGACACCCTAGTAACCATATGCACTCCAATCAGGCCATATGATTTAAAACCCATGTACAGCAGAACCCTTCTCTTCACACGTCTAGAAAAAACAGGGACTGTTGAGAGCTTTTATATTCAGCTGCCTTTGTTTTTATTAATTTTATTTTATTTTAAGTTCTGGGATACAGGTGCAGGATGTGCAGGTTTGTTACATAGGTAAACCAGTGCCATGGTGGTTTGCTGCACCTATCAACCCATCACCTAGGTATTAAGCCCCACATCCATTAGCTATTTATCCTGATGCTCTCCCTCCTCCTGCCATCACCCCAAGAAAGGCCCCAGTGTGTGTTGTTCCCCTCCCTGTGTCCATGTGTTCTCATTGTTCAGCTCCCACTTATAAGTGAGAACATGAGGTGTTTGGTTTTCTGTTCCTGTATTAGTTTGCTGAGGATAATGACTTTGAGCTCCAGGATACAAAACCAATGTGCAAAAATCACAAGCATTCCTATACACCAATGGCAGACAAGCAGAGAGTCAAATCATGAATGAACTCCCATTCACAATTGCTGCAAAGAGAATAAAATACCTAGGAATACAACTGACAAGGAAAGTGAAGGACCTCTTCAACGAGAACTAAAAACCACTGCTCAATGAAACCAGAGAGGACACAAACAAATGGAAAAACATTCCATGCTCATGGATAGGAAGAATCAATATCATGAAAATGGCCGAAAGACCCAAAGTAATTTATAGATTTATATCCTAAAAGGATATAAATCATTCTATTATAAAGATACATGTATATGTATGTTCATTGCAGCACTATTCACAATAACAGAGACATGGAATCAACCCAAATGCCCATCAATGACAGACTGGATAGAGAAAATGTGGTACATATACACCATGGAATACTATGCTACCATAAAAAGGAACAAGATCCTGTCCTTTGTAGGGACATTTAGCTGCCTTTAATTGAGACTTTGATTGTACCATTCAGATTCTGGCACTTTGGTCCAATTATAGCAGAATCCTGGATGCCAGCATCTTTGCTAGCGGTGCACCCACAAAGCCTTTGACTTAAAAGACAAGCAAATCAAGCTCCCAGGACCCAACATTGTATTCAAATTCTACGAATGACTCAGCCTCATTATAACACCATAGAGCCACAAAAATATGACCCACATCAACCCTAGTGGGTATCCATGTGGGAAGGATACCCTAGTCCCACACCGCCCTAGCTCAAGACCACGCCATTAAAGATGGCATGCCCCCTGCCTCCCAACCAACTATGGGCAGTGCCAACTACATTGGCACATGGAATGTCTTGCCATTCATAGGAGACCAGAGGCTCTTGGTTTTCCAGTGGCTAGTTACACTGCTGACTTCTGTTTTAAAAAGCGAGACCCACAAAACTGGAAGGACTTTTCAGACTTTACAGACAGCTATAGAACTGTAAGTTCTGCTCCCTTTGATTGTAATTCCACTCTATACCAGGCTAAGCCCTTATGAGACCAAGTCCAGTGCCTCCTTAATGCTTCTAAGATTCAGGTTCCTGCTAATCCCACCCACTTCTCCTGCCTAAAGGGTAATCTAACTGAAGTATCCACCCTGTGTGCTCTCCTAGGAGTAAAAGGAGCATCTGCTGGTCTCCTACTGTCAAACCATTCACTCCCTTCCATCATCTTTCCCTTCCCTTTTTCATTGTCAGTATCCCTACTCCCACCCCCATCTCTTCTGTCCTAACAGCATCTTCTCCTCTTCCACTCTAAAAGACTACATGAGTAAAATTCAAATCCACTGCTCCAGTTTCTCTGATATTTATACGGGCATCCAAAATACACACGCATTTGACTGAAGTAGACTCTTCTGCAGTGACTATCTGTAACTCATCAGCCTGCTTCCACATATCCTACACCACACATTTACCCAACTGATAATTGCTCCAGAGATGAAAAATATTGAGAAATTAAAACCACTTCCAAACGGCCTCTTCTCCTGTATCGGGGTGCCCTCTCATGGCAAGTGGCAACTGCACTCGTGTTTTGTCAATACGTACCACAGGTGGGCTACCCAATGAACAACTGCATACTCTCACCATATGCCCAACAAAAGCCACTGTCTTCCTCCAGTCCCATTCTTTAGTAATTTCCCTTTACCTAAATCAAGGTACAGTTTGCCAGTCTAAAGGTAATGCCACAAAACTATATTGTGTCCCAACCAACAAAGGTGCTTATCCCCTCTACTTTGCCCTTCCATTACCCTGAAACTGGAAGCCACGAGATGCATTCTGGCCTCTCTTGGCATTCCTATTTATATAAATGTTAATTATTCTTTCCCCATCCAGCCAAACGTCATTGATGTGCCACATTCGTACCTATAATACTGGGACTCACCCCTGCTCTAGGACTCACTGCGATGGCCACAAGGAGCATTGCTTTAGTCCAACAGTCAAAAATAATTGATGCTACCCTACAAATGTCCAAAACTCTAGTATATCATATTTCTAAATTACAGCAAATATTAGTCCTGCTAGACTGGGGAGCTTTGGTAAAAATGTTTTTTGACAGTAAATTTGTCCTTGATTATATATTAACTAGTCAAAGAGATGCTTGTAACATTATTAGAGCTTCTTGTTGTAGGTGGGTTAACACCACCAATCAAGAGGTCACTAACAGAAAGCCTGGATCACAAAACCATCATCCTAAAGAAAACATGCCTTACATGTTTAACGCACTCTGAAATTCAGTCAAAATATGACTAAAGGCCCTTGCCAAGACTAATGTATTCTCCTAGCCAACACCAAACAAATGGGAGCCTGGTTACAAGTCAGCCTTCCGGGACTTGTCACATTTCTACTTGGTTTCTTCCTCGTTACTGTCATAATAAAATGTTTTCCATGCTGTTTAGTACAACTTAGGCCCTATTCTGTAGAAGTCTCCTCTACTGTTCAGGCCACTCAAATACCCCAAATAATTGAGTTCAAAATCAACATCAAGATAGAAAGGAATCAGTGACTAAATATATTTAACATATGGTATTTTTATTGATTATGGTGCTGTCTTGACCTAGTTTTGAGGCCTCGGCTAGAGGCTGGTCAGTTTCCTTTCTTGAGCAGTCGATTAAATCCACACCCCAACCACTTCCCTTATCAGGTTCTCACACTCTGGGGCCACTATGTACCCACTCTAATCACCACAGGGCCAGACATCAGACAATTAAGGACAGCGCCCATGCCCCAAAGCCCGCCAAAATTGTGCAAATTTTCAAAATTATTCAACCTAGCTAGCCCCACCCTTTTTGCTATACATAAGCTGCCCTTTCCCCCTCCAGCTTGTGGTATCCAGTCCTCAGGTGCAACTCCTTGCGTGGTCCTCTGTGGCAGCCTTCTCTCATTCGGAAGTGTAAGTAACAAAGACTTCTGCCTTTCATCTGGCTAAGCATTGAAGTGTTTTGTCTGACTGCTGAAAGAATCTTTAAATCTTATAAAACACAGTCCTACCTACATCTTAATTACTATTCAATGAATGAAAGCTGCAAAGTTTAAAAAACCCTTATAGTTTTTCTAAACCTTCTGTATTTATCAAGCAGATCTCTGGAAATCTGGAAATTTGCAAAGGATAATATAATATTCTGGCCTCTCTTTTTTTTTTTTTTTTTTTTTGAGACAGAGTCTCACTCGGCCGCCTATACTAGAGTGCAGTGGCACCATCTCTGCTAACTACAACCTCTGCTTCCCGGGTTCAGGTGATTCTCCTGCCTCAGCCTCCCGAGTAGCTGGGATTACAGGCGTGTGCCACCACACCTGGCTAATTATTGTATTTTTAGTAGAGAGGGGGTTTCACTATGTTTGCAAGGCTAGTCTTGAACTCCTGACCTCAGGTGATCTGTCCTCCTCAGCCTCCCATAGGGCTGGGATTACAGGCATGAGCCACTGCGCCCGGCCAATATAAATTACCATTTGAACTTATTCCATGACTAATCTTCAATTTGAGGTTAATTCCCCTAAACAATTAATGCAATTGATAGATTCGGTTAATTAAGTTCTTTTAAATATCATATATTATATCAATTACAAATTTAATCTACCTGAATCTCTCAAACATTTCAAATGCCTGACACATTAGTATCTTTTATACATCTTGCAAGTTTAAAAAAGGAGGGAGGGGGTTCTAATAATTAAAGCAATTCCAGTAAAAGTAATAAATCAAATGTATGCAGTAGTAAGTCATGTTCTCTTAAACATTCAAACACTGCATATAGACTGAAGAAAATGCTCTTGTACTTTAAAATTAAAATTATACGGTTCATATAACTGATTTTCTAATATATCAGGTTCTATCAAATGCTTCAAACAACTTAACAATCTATCATAGGTTATCCCAATGATTAAATAATTAAGTTTCTAAAGTTAATACAAATATGTTAATATTGTGGATTTGACTAACTTCAACATTCTTATAGTTATTTCTTTCTTCTCCCAGTATTTTAAAGCCACTTATGCAAATAAAGAGAATAGATAGATGTATGATCTGACTGGTCTAAGGATACTGTATCAGAGAATCAAGTCCAGGGTTGACGTGTCAGTTAAAGAATTTGAGAGAGGGGCAGGGACCTAATTAGGTACCACACATGCTCAGGGACCACACAACACAAAAGTCAATCTGCTGGACATCTCCGTGAGGTAACAGAGCTTTCCAAACTCACACCAGTTCATGCAGTCCGGTATATCATGTGTACCCTTACCTAGTTTTATTTATTTATTTATTTATTTATTTATTTATTTATTTATTTATTTTTGAGACAGTGTCTCACTCTGTAGCCAGGCTGGAGTGCAGTGGTGCGATCTCGGCTCACTGCAACCTCTGCCTCCTGGGTTCAAGCGATTCTCTTGCCTCGGTCTCCCGAGTAGCTGGGACTACAGGTGTGTGCCACCACACTCGGCGAGTTTTTGTATTTTTAGTAGAGACAGGGTTTCACCATGTTGGCCAGGATGGTCTCGATCTCTTGACCTCTGATGATCTATCTGCCCGCCTCAGCCTCCCAAAGTGCTGGGATTATAGGCGTCAGCCACCACGGCCAGCTTCCTTACCCAATTTTTAAAGTTACCTCTTTTACAACTTTTTTGTTTTTTTGAGACAGAATCTCACTCTGTCACCCAGGCTGGAGTGTAGTGGCGTGATCTCTGCTCACTACAACCTCTGCCTTCCGGTTCAAGCAATTCTTGTGTCCCAGCCTCCCAAGTAGCTGGGATTACAAGTATGCTCAAGTAGCTGGGATTACAAGTATGCGTCACTATGCCCGGCCAATTTTTGTATTTTTAGTAGAGAAGGGGTTTCACCATGTTGGCCAGGCTGGTCCAGAACTCCTGACCTCAAGCAATCTGCCGCCTGGACCTTCCAAAGTACTGGGATTAAAGGCGTAAGCCACCATGCCTGGCTTCTTTTATAGCTTATAATTGTGTAATTTGATAGGTAAAATTCCCTCTACAGGATATTATTTACTACTCGACTGAATTTAATGTCTTCATTGCCTGATTGGAGTCAACTTGCTTTTTACATGTTTTATATCCAGTTCAATATCAATAATCCTATTGTCATTTTACTGACTATTCCCTACGTGATTAACACTATCTACTGAATACTGTATCTTAGAATATTACCTACATTTGCATCAAGCTCATGATCTATAACTCACCTACATCCACCATTCTAGTTTTGAAATTTGGGATAGCACGTGCCAGGATATAGTTGTTCTGCCTGAGTCTTCACTGCACCTCGAGTTATTCTGAGTTTCATCCATCTTATCTGAACATCTTCTGTGCTCTGGATTTTATTCCTCTCCAAGAGACACAAACTCATTTAGAGCATGTAGATCTTCCCTTGGGATGTTTCTATGTATTTTATTCCTTGTTTCTATCATGCCAACATTTGTTCGAAGCTTTCTATTTGTTCTAATTTTTTTTTTCAAAAGAAAAGGAAAAAAACAGGACTTTTATGGCACCACTGGTCAGTGTAGGGCAGGTGGGTGGGACACAGCATTAGATGTGCTAGTTGGGCAGAGCTGTGCTGTTACTTTTCTGAAAGGGGTAACAAAATACATAAAATAAAACAGTGCGATGCCAAGACAGGCCAGCATGAGATAGGTGAGTTCTTCCCTCCGTAGCCTTCCTTCCAGGTTGTTTTATGTGTCTTTCCTTAATGTGTCCTTACTGTCTAATTAGGTTTCTCTCATTGCCCTTATCTTAATGTTTTACAATTATCTAAGGTGGAATAGCACAGTGGAGAGAAGCAAAAATGTTGGAGTGAGATAGACTTAGGCAGAGGTGGCAATATTGCAAAAATAATGATGCTTAAGCTACAAGACCATTCATTGGCTTGATTTACTTCCAAGATCCCAGAAGGGCACAAGAAATGTTTTATATAAAATTTGCAAAAGATATTTAACCACAATCAGTCAACCCCATTATCATTTTACTACAACTGTCCGGCATCATATTTCCTGTATCAGGTGTTGTTGGAGAGGCTGCGGGCATTTTTGAGACCGAAAGGGAGGATGTTGAATTGAGAATAATTTTAGTTTGGCTTTAGTGGGACATATTTATGTGGGTATCAGTCATTTCTGTATATTGATAATTTATTGCTAGCCATTCAGGGTAGCACCCACTATGCCAAAACAAATATGCAGGGCCAGAAGTCACATCGAAAAGTGAAAGTGTGCTTCTTAATGGCTCCCAGGCTCAGAAATTTGTAGGTTATTGAAGAGAAATAGATGGTGAAATGCACAGAGGCAGAGCAAATCCAGGGAAAAAAATTTCAACCATCCAATGTGTAAAACTGTAAGCAGAGAATTCCTTTTTAGAATTTGACCAGAAAACCTAGTTAAGACAGGTTCTCTCAGGAATGTATCTGATAATGTCTTATGTACAATTAAAACCACATAATACGTTACAAAATTTTTTTGATGAAAATAGTGCAAAATTAAAGAATCCTGTGCATTAAGACACAAACCTATAGCAGTACTTCAAATGTGTGTGAAGTTTTATGAATCCCAATATTAATAAGAACAAACACAAATTTTAATCAACCATGCTTCAAATAAGACTGAAATATCTTTCTATTCTCTCTACAGAAAATAATATAAAATTTTTGTCATATGAAGAGATAATTCGGAATCATGAAATTTAAATATAGATAAAAACTATTAGAGAATTGTGTCTGGCGGTGGCTGAATATAAATTTTTTTTTTTATTTTGTGATATTTTTGATATTTAACTTTGTAAAATATTTGATTTATTATAAATCATTTTCTTGTTCTAAATAGATATTCACTTTAGTCACTACTTTTTATTATTAATTTTGTATTCTTTCTGTGGTGAAATTAAATTTACTACTTTAAACATTTTAAGGTATACAGGTCCGTGGCAGTAAGTACATTGACATTGCTGTGCAACCCCCATCGTGCTTCATCTCCATAACTTTCTCATCTTTCCAAACTGAAACTCCATATTCATTAAACAATAACATGCCACTCCTTCCTCCCCCGAGCTCTGGCAACAATTACTCTTCTAACTCTATAAATTTGACTATTCTAGGTATTGCATATAAGTGGAATAACACAGTATTTGTCCTTTTGTATCTGGCTTATTTCACTTAGCATAGTATCTTCAATCTTCATCCATATTGTAGCATGTATCATTTCTTTTTAAGGCTGAATAATATTTCCTTGTATGAACAGTAGTCCCCCTTATCTGCGAGGATACGTTACAATACCTGAAACCATGGATAGTACCGAATCCTATAAACACTATGTTTTTTTCCTTATATAAACACACCTACGACAAAGTTTAAATTATAAATTAGGAATAGGAAGAGATTAACAACAATAACTAATAATAAAATAGAACAACTATCACAATATTTCATAATAAAAGTTATGTGAATGTAGTCTCTCTCTCTCAAAATATCACATTGTACTGTACTCACTCTTCTTGTGATGGGAGATGTTGCAATGCCTCTGTGATGAGATGACAGGAGGTGAATGATGTAAGCATTGTGATGTAGCCATAGCCTTTTAACCTTCTGTGTTCCTGAATCGGTGTAACCAGCCCTTACTTGTAGTAAGCGGCTTGGTGTCACTCATTTCTTGCTTGCTGAAGTCTTCGCAGATGCTCAGTGCTTTCTCGTGCAACAAGTTGTTATCAGAACATGTTTTCTATTCATGTCTTCCACCCACACATTTAATGCCTTTTCCATCTTAACTAAACACCCAGCAGGTACCGTAGCTGTAACTTTTACAGTTTCAGTTGCAACAGCAACACTAGCACGAATTTCTTTTTCCTCCTTCACAATTGCCTGGATAGAAGATTTGATTTTACCATAGATCTTAGCAACCTCAGTATACG